CACTGGAAGCAAAGCCCAAACCAAAGTCACTGCCATTGACTTGACTTGACTCATAGTGACCCCTCCTTGGGTTTCCCAGGCAGTATCACTACGGAAGTAGATTGCCCAACCTTTCTTCGGAGGAGTGGCTGGTGGGTTTGAACTGCCAGCCTTCTGGTTAGCAGTCAGATGTCTTAGGCACTGTGCCACCAGAGCTTCCTTCTCAGCTTTAAGGCCTGGCAAATGCTGCCCTTTTGATCTCAGATGCTTGCTTGTTCTAAGGAGCGCATACCTCCCTGGTATTACTACTACTGTTCACCATATAAGCCTGTCTATCATTTGGCCGAAAGTCATGGCTAAATTTCTGCAGAGTGTTAAAGTCATTGAAAAAAAGGAAAGAAAAGTAAGTGTACTGGAATTTGCAACATAATTCTAAGTTTAAATATCTTATCAAACCCCGTAACAGAATTTACTGCAATTTTATTTTGCGGATTATGATGAACGCAAACTCATCAGTACTGTTTTCAAGATTGAGTCCTTTGCTTTCCTTATTTTCAAACGAAAGACTGGCTGACAATTTATCTTGGCCAAGTGCTGATCTTTAACGATTTTTAATTTAAAACATGGCTGGCGCGTATTCATATGAGTCACATGGTCTCATGCCATCTGCCCCGTTCCCCAAACCCTCCCCTCCCAGGCCTCTGTCCTCAGCTCTCTCTCGTCCGGCCTCCTCCTCACTGCTCCTGAGAAACGGCCAGCCCTTCCCTGCTTCCTGGAGTCCCTGGGGGGTAACTCAAAGGTTGGACATTCAAGTCAACCCACAGGCACCCAGGAAGAAAGTTCTGGCCGTCTGTCTCGGGAAGCCCAGCCATTGAGCACTAAATGGGGTGCAGCTCTACCCCAACACACATGGGGCGCCACGAGTCAGCGTCAGCCCCACAGCGCCAGGTGGGCCCCTGCTTCCTGGCTGCAATGGGATGAGTTGTATCCCCCAGAAACATGTGTGGTGAATTCCCAACTACTATCCCTGTGGTTAGGGAGCTCTGGTGGCGTAGTGCCTAGGGCACGTGACTGCTAACCAGAAGGCTGGC